CAGAAATGGTGGAACAGTTTGAGAGCTCCGGCTTAGCTCACAAAATCCACCTCATTAATAACTCAGATAGGAGATGATATTTCAAATAAACACCTAGACTATCACAGATAAGAGCAGCACTACATATGTGAAAATGAGTCATTCATACAGAACTATGTAGTTGCTCCTGTTGATTTATAATTAACGAATTAAAAAATGAGAAATCGGATTTGATTGAGTACAAAAAAGACTGTTCTTTTCTTCTTTCCTATGTGGGAAAGGCCTCCGCGTACAATATGGTAGATGTTTATCGTTATGGAAAACAACAGGGTGGAAAAAAAGTTGTTACTGAAGCGTATGGAGTAATAAATTGCGTATCACTATACCCTTCCAGGCTCTGAAGAAGGCGATACTACCGAAACACTAGCTTTACTAGAAAAAGGAAGAAAGGAACACTTCGTGTTTGCTCAACCAGAACATAGAGAAAAAAGTTCTACGTAGGAGATGTGGTGCCGAATTGACACTTCTAGTGATTGTAATGCTGCTAATAGTTAAAACACCCTGCGAGCGATTGTTGGATGTGGTATATTCTACACTTTATCACCGCTCTGTGATATCGGCGTAAAAAGATCTTGCTAATACCGGTGCATCATATACACTCAATAACGGCATTGAGAGCGGAAAGCGATACAGTTGTACATGGACGAGAATCATGTGACCAAGTGCTAGTAATCTGTATAGGAATAAATGCTTTACAAAGTGCGAAATAAAGTGAGTGTAGACATTTCAGAAAAAATACTGACATACGTGAGGTTGGTATAGATGTTCCTATTGCTGTTGCTGTCTTTGTACAACAATGGCCGACGTTTAGGCGACTTCACCTTCCTCAGAGCCTTGCCGTCCCTTATTCCTTATCGCGAGTAGGACAATCTCTCGTTAAAAACACACGGGTTATCAACCAACGGCAAAGCTCTGAGGAAGATGAAGACGTTGAAACATCAGCCATTGTTGAACAATGACAGCGACAACAATAAGAACATGTACACCAACCGCACGTCAGCTAAAAGTAGGCATTTCGTAAGAACATATATACAGGTATATCGATTATTATGCCGATGATTATAGAAAGTCGATCTTCTGAGTTCATGCTGAGATCGTTATGCTGCGCATGTAGATAACTAGGTGTCTTGCCTCCACAAGCAGTAAGAACTGCAGCATACATTACAGTGACAACTATCTTCATAATTTCAATGATGCTGAGATATTTGCAAAACTCCGAACAGCAGGCGTCTGCGGTGGGAAACGAACGCGCTATTGTCCTTTCCGGGGAGCAACGCGTTCACCACCACACCATGCGGGTCTCTCATTGAAGTAATATTCCGCAATATACCTTGCCATTTAAAAAGAATAGACAGAAAATAATAAGTTAAAATTGTGATTATAACTACAGCCTCAGCTTAACTGGGCTCGTTACCGATTTTGGCTCCCCAGATTGGCCCCGTCGATGGGTGATTGCTGATGGAAGGGATCGACAGAACAAGCTAAGAGACATGCGAAACGGAGGACCCGCATGGTGTGGTGGTGGATGCGTTACTCCCCGAAAAAGACAATAGCGCGTTCGTTCCTCACCGCAGATCACCAGCGGTCCAGAGTTTTGCAAATATCTCAGCAATCTTGTGGTTGAAGTGGTTGTGCCAAGTTATTTGAAGCTAACAACTTTACCGATTAACATCTTAGTCCCTTCAAGCAAAAAGACCACTGTATGCACAGAATTGTAACCACACAAACAGGGACACACAAACTGACAGGCACACCAGACACACACTCACACACACACATACACACATCACACACACACACACACACACACACACACACACACACATACACATACACACACAGACACCTACACGCACATACGCACATGCACACACATACACACAAACACACACATACACGCACATACACACACATACACACAAGACATACAAGACACACAAGTATATGCATCTATACACATATAGACAGTTTGATCCACTTAATTTCATATGCTCTAAGAGTCTCTATGTTCGTTTATTAATGAATAGGCGAAAAGGAGAAAGTGGTGCGCTTGAGTGGGAATATCAGTAGCGAAGGTGGTGGACACGAAATGCAATAGTGAGGTACGGGCGGAGGTGATAAGCGACGGAAACATTAGTTCTGCATTACTTCATGTTTTCTTTCACTTACAACCATTCAGCGGAGAACTCGTTCTGATAATAAATGCAAGAAATGTACTGTGATTCTTTCGTTTTCTATCGCCTGCTAAGAGAACGAAAGCGATACCATGACTTATTTTCTTTGACAATAAAAAAACCTTCTTCGCTGCTGATCAACATCATTGACATTGGTTATCACATTCACATTTCGTTGACGCGACAACAGACTGTAAGACCTCCATAGGGGTTGAATCAAAGCATTCGTAATTATGTGAATTATGATAGACCATGGGCGTGAATATAGCGCATTGGTTAGCATAGATGATCTGCAACAGAGACGTGGTCCCTTGTTCGAGGCGGTACCACATGCTAATCTGGCCTCCGATCTCGCCTGTGTTAGGGAAATAGCGCCAAACCTGTCTGAGAGGATGGAAATGCTGAGTTGACACACCGAAAGACTCTCGTATAGGGCTTCCCTTTACTCTTTATAATGCACTATAACTCCCCTTCACATGAAAGATTTATAAATGATCGTCATGTAAGCAATAGAACAAAATTCGCTCGATTCGCTAAAGTTCTAAAAATGATGAGTAGGCCATTGACGTCTTGATGTCGGCAAATAGCGAATCTTTCCTCGAAGTGGTTCATCATTAGCAACGAAGAATGTAGCACTTTCGTGGAGCCATCGAACAACCTACAAAGAGAACAAATATCGGATTTATCGTTGCCGTTCAGTGTTTATTGCAATTATAAGATAGGGATCAAAAATCGACAAGAACTGGCAGCGCAGTGGTTAGAGGTGCTTAACAATATACGTGGTCACGCGCTCGAATCTGAGCGGGCTTACAAAGTCCTCCATCTCTACGGGATGTAGCACATTAGTACTAGATTATTCTAGGAGAAGAAAGTACCGACGTGTTAGATTGACAGACCCCGAAAGCGAACGTTTATGCCAAAAATGCATTAAATCATTTCCACGATACATCACGGAATTGAATGCTTATCGCATTCCTAAGTGATTTATCAACACTGAACCCTTTATCCTTTAGCTTTTAAAGATTAGCCGGCTTAATCGAACTCACTTCCTCTTGTCCACGTAAGTCAGCTGCTTCCGGAAAATTTTTATTGATTCCTTTGTTTGTCGGATGCTTCACATGCACGTCGTGTCGTACCTAGTCGGAGAAATTTTAACACCGCATCGTTAGATTTTACAAAAAAGATCACTTCGATCTAGGTGCTGCTCAGGCTCAAAACGTTTCAAATATTTTTGTAGCCTTGGCTTACGCCCACATATTGCTTGTGCTTCACATCTTATTCATAACAACCATGTTCTTTCTATGCGCCTGAAAAAAATCTTGGTCGCAGTTAAATTCATCAGAAACGAATACTACGGTAATACGCTGACGGTGAGCTCGTAATGGTAAGCTTGAAGTTTTAAAGGTCACCTTCCACAATGTCAAAATTGTACCGCTCTGTGCTGGAACAGCACATTCAATTTTTTTTTACTATTCACATCAGTGATCCAGGAGAATATACATCGATAGCGAAACATAAATGGGCCGGTCACATAATGAGAAGAACAGACCACAGATGGAAATGGACGAAACGAATAGTAGAGTGAACTCCAAGCGAGTGCAAACATCCCCATGGATGACCACCTACACATTGGGGGGACGTGTTCATAAACAATGGTAATCAGCTGTACCCGCAGCTGGAGTTGTTTTACAGATCACGGTATGAGACTTGCACGCCCTATCATGCTCGAACAAGACCACCACCATGGACTACGATTGCGAGAAAAAAGAACGAATGGCATATGTGCTGCGGTCCGCACAGCTCGTGAAGACGGACCGTCCAAGTATCCAAGTAAGTATTCGCATCTGTGTACGTTCGAACGCTGTACACTGACATGTCGAAGATGGATATTGTAACAGGCTTGTTTGAGGTACCTTCATGAAACGTGTAAATTTTCATCTTATTAGTGGATCTGGCTTCACTATTCCATTTCGTCTCACATTCTTCATACTTACATACATACTGCTTCAGAGCTCAAAAAAGTGAGATTGACATGCAAATTATTTAGCAGAGAATCTAAGCTCTAAACAAAAATCTCAACAAAATCGACCAACTATTCTGTACATCCAAACTGTTAACCATCGACACTACCGCTGATTCGATGAAGTGTTCACGTACGGTACTTGTATTTTCAATGCATTTCAAGAAATTTAGAGCTAATCGAGCATTTTCGCGTTAGGGATCAAACACCAGATTCATGATATTCTCTGTCGGTGCATACTTTGTGGGTGGTCTTACGAAATTCAATAAGGATTGCGTTTAAGGGTTTGAAATTCTCCAAAAGAAGTGAGAACGTGCATACAGGGGTTTTATAGCTGCCTTAAAGTTATGGTTAGGTTTTCCGTTATGTTGTTTTTTGCCGATTCCACCTTTTTTAGAGTCGTCTTCATACTTTAAAAGTGATTCCATGGATAGTGTCATAGAAAAACATTGTTGCAGTCTCATTAGAAGCGAAAATGCCTCGGAGGAAGAGAAAGTCGCCGAAATGTTAGCCCTCAAATATTAAAATATGTGTTGAAAACCTCGTCTAAGCTCATCAAAGGTAACTCCTACGATAACAAAAGTATACACTTTCCACACCTTTATCACCGATCACACGAAAAATGTGAATCTATCGAGACGTCAGTGTAAATAAATGAAATAAACTTTGTTTTAACAATCTCGTGTTATTCTACCGAGATGGTCTACACGCGTTACATAATTCCAGGACCTAAAAGCTTAGACCGCACTAATATGTGTGGTTTTCTTCTAGCCTGGACCAGATACTAAGATGCCACGAACCTCTGCATAGTACTGTACTCGTCCTGGATAGTCTCCGTATCGATCGCATACATGCTTAATTAGACCATTGTGGCCAAATTCTCCAATTTTTAAGAAGACATCTGGATGTGTTTCGTTGGAGTAATAACAACCTGAAAATAGCTGTTTTAGAACATTTTAAGCCGCTTTCATAGTTAGTTTGATACAGCGTGTCTCCCGGCCATGGTTGCAGGTTGTTAATACAAAGAACGCACTGTGACTGATGAGGACGAAATTAAAAAGGATAAAGTTCTCGGCATTGATCTATCCTTTAAGGATGTGACATGCATTCCATTTCACCAAGAATCGTGGAGGTGACCGAATGGATATCTGGCCCTTTACAATGACTCGTGGTGGCCTACCGATGTTTCAAGCCGGTGCTGATCTCCTCTCAGAGAGCTCTGGTACCAATTTGCCAAACCCGGAAAGATGGAAGGCGTGGTGAATCTTGAGCACGAGCTAGAACCTATGTGTATTGTAGAGCACCTCCGACCACTAAACTACAGGCGCACGAGAATGAAATGGCACTGTTTTAAATAACAAGTAGTGCAGTGAGATGAGATATTACTTGCATAGACAAGATCATTGGTTAGAGTCCGGCGAATGAAATCTTGCGTGGTCTGCTTGTGTAGTATTCTGTCTCCAGTAAACGTCACCACATAAATCAAATTCAGCCCTCTTATCTAAAAAGAACCCCCATATAATTGTATATGAGTATCAACAAGGCTTTCTGAGCGGTATACACTTCGTCGTTTACCTTCCAAAGAACATTCATGCTGCAGCACAATTCCCTCGTACTTCAACGCCTTGTTTATGGGCTCCTACAACGTGTTGAACTGTGATACTCAACGGAAATTCACCTCCATTTTGTCAAGCTTGATATCTACAACCGAAAACACATGTAAAAGTAAACGAAATCTGGGAATAACGAAATAACTGTTGTTTTAATAGCAACCCAGTCACAAGGTGACAAATCCGTAAGGTCGGCGATTACCCGTATTTAAGACAACAAATCTCAGCACAGTTATCCCGAGACTTCGGAGAAGGGAAATATTGTCTAGTCAGTAGTCGGTCAAATCTAATTACATCATGTACTTAGTTCAAAACGAGTTATTCAACCACTCAAGTTTTAAAAGGCAAAAAAGATAAGGAAACTATTAGGTAACCTTACCGATCACCCATCGTCCTGTCTCAAGGCACAGCCACTGGAAACGACCGTCTCGAAACTCTGAGTGTACTTTTTTCACATGGCCATTAACCAGGCAGTGTGGTTCTAAATTCCTTTCACTTTTCATTTCAAAATTGACTTCGTTTAGATTTCTTGTGAAGAACGACAATACGTCTACTAAGTCTAGAAGGTAGTTTTGGGTACTTATAATAGACTGTTCCTCAAAATTTCCTTGAAAAGAAGAAAAGAACAATTATGGATGTAATCCTCTACCTGATTCGTATTTGAGGCGTTGCGTGTTTGCATCACAACTGTGCCATAGCTCTCCGATACTTACATTCGCTCCGACCGGTACGATCTCCTTCACTGGTGGTTCAGCAACGCATGCAACGAATCGCGCATCAGTTCTGTATGCAATCTCTAGCAATCGATTAACACCGATAATCTTAGTGGAGACTTACACTAGATATTTTTCTAGTTTTCTGCCTTCCTCTCAATGGCTTCGTGGATGAAGGATATCAGTGGATTTTAAGCTAGGATACGCTACCAAATTTGTCCACCACTCGCATGAACCTCATCTAACATAAAAATATCCTTCTACAGCTAGTTCTATCGATGTTTTGCCATCAGCAATCACCCGGTGACAGGCGAAACGATGGACCCGCATGATGTGGTGGTGAACGCGTTAATCCCCGGAAAGGACAATAGCGCGTTCGTTCCTCACCGCAAGCACCTGTAGTCCGGTGTTTTGCAAATATCTCAGCATTATAATAGTTATATTTTAATACCCTACCGTTAAAAAGAATAGGCAGTAAATAAAATGGTTAAGATTGTGATTATCCTTCTACACATTTCCGTCCATTTGAGAATAAGCCAATGGTGAGAATGACTAATAGCAACAAGGCCTAAGGTGGCGAATCAGCCTTCAATGCGGAAAAACACAGACTGATCCTAGTGAAGACCTCTGAAAACCCTAGCACGGCTACCACGAAACTTTAGTGAAAATCTTGCCTGACCAGCAAATGACTGTTTAGGCACAGCAGATCAATATCTGTCAAGCCCACCGTCATTTCACCTCGGGTTAATAATCAATACCTTCATGGGTTGTTAAACCAACATGAAGTTGGTAAAAAGGTTTATTCGGCTGACGTTTCGACGTCTGCGACTTCGTCAGAGTCCATAATTCACGTTTAAGCTGAATTATTGACAAAAGTTTAACTGGTGATAATCCTATTGGCAACAATCCAATTCAAGTGCGATCCGATGCCAAATGCCGGCCACAAAACAGTGATGCCATCTACTGGAAATAAACCAGCAGTGCCATCTATTGGCAACAATCCAAAATCGAAAAGGTGAGCGCGGATTTCCGGGTCCTTCAGTTGGGTGGCTTCCTTGAGAAACCCGAATGCGGCCCTAGCTGCTTTCCTTCTTATACCTAGTTCCTCTTTCATGTTGTTTTTCATGTTCAGTGATCGTCCAAGGTATAGGTACGAGGAGGTCTCTGCGTCTCTGCAATGAGAGAGCCATCCAATTCAATTCTTTCGCCTTCGCACCATGGGTTTTTCATGAACTGCGTCTTTTTTCGATTCATGCGAAGTTCGATCCTTTTCCCCGCTTCGCTGAGCTCGTTGATCATCATCTCTGCTTCGCTAGAACTTCTTGAGAAGATGACAATGTAGTCGGAAAAACAAAGGTTTGATAGGAATATTTCATCAATACGTATGCCTTTCTCATCCCTATCGAGTCACTTCATTATCCACTGCCGAGCAGCACTAAACAGCTTTGGCGAAATTGTGTCGCCCTGTCGAACCTCTTTTTTATGGGTATGGTAAGAGGTCGGTAGAAAAGCTTCATTTTTCCTGTGCAGCTCCGATAACAGCCAGATAGAGTTCTTAAGTAGGACGGGTCCACTCCTTCGTCGACGACCGCTGACATGATTGCATTCGTTTCGACACTGTCAAACGCTTTTTCATACTCGACAAAGGTTAGAACTAGAGGCAGGTGGTATTCCCGACAAAATTCGATAACTCTGGACACAGTATGGTCCACGCAGCAAAATCCTTTTCGAAATCCTGCTTGCTCTACTGGTTGTGCCTCATCCAATGTCCTTGATATGCGCGGCGGGATAATATTCGTGAAGAGCTTGTACAGAACACTCAACAAGCATGTCGGACAATAGTTACGAAGATCCCTTCGCTCACACTTCTTTGGTAAGGATGACCGCCCGCAACGTTCTCCACTGGTCTGAGATTTTTTCCTTTTGGAAGTAGGCTGTCATATGGTTTGCGAGAAGTACATATAAATTGCGGCTTCCAGCTTTAACGAAATCGGCGGTGATATTTTTGGGTGCTGGAGCCGTGCCTGTCTCCATGCTTTCTATCACGACTCGGACCTCCGACGGAAGAATTCCAGGTGGTTTTTCTCTAGCCGGGATATTAGGGTTCGGGACTGTGATTGTGGAGCGGAAAAGATTGGTGTAGAACGTTTCCGTTATTAATTGCATATAATGGCGGGAAGTTTTGGCGATCCCATCTTCAATTTTAACTCATCATTTACTGCCTCTTCTTTTTAGCGGCAGGGTATTTTGTGAAATATAACTATTATAATGCTGAGATATTTGCAAAACTCTGGACCGCAAGTTCTATAGTGGTGAACGAACGCGCTATTGTCCATTCCGGAGAGTAACGCGTTCACCACCACACCATGTGGGTCCTTCGTTTTGCCCGTCTCTCAGCTAGTTCTATCGATCTCTGTCATTAGATCCCATCTTCGTTCATCAAGGCTGACAGCGAAACATTATAATTACACAAATCCCGACGGCATTTTTCGGACTGCTTCTCTTCTCTTCTGCTTCCAGTAGTTTCTTCTGCTTGTACCGTTGTAGGTATTCCTGCAAAGCCCTTCTGCAGCTGGAATTTATTCCTAGCCATGTTAAACGTGTTGCAGTAGGATCAAGCTTTAGTTTCCCTCTCTTTTCGAGCAACTCCTTAGTAGTGATGGAGATGCGATCCGATCTTCTTGCTTGAGGAACTGAGGCGAATTCGGCACAACTTTCGGTCCTTCAACAAGCAGCCCGTAGTCTTCGGTCAGGTCTTCTTTAATCTGCCAGTCACGTTTGGGTAAGACTTTGTTCAGAATGTTCTCATCGTATACAGCTAGACTTTTTCCTCGTGGTCGATGAAGAGGGTTCTTTTCCAGCTTGCGGCTGAGTCGAATCTTCACGCGAAGAAGACGGTGATCGGAACCAGTACAGAATGGCGAGGCTACCCATGTGTCAAGTAGGAACCATCTTCTGTTTGTCAGAATATAGTCGATCTCCGCATGAGTTGTGCCGTTAGAAGGCTCCCATGCTCAGCGGCGGCTTTCTTTCTTCTGAAAAAACGAGTTTCCATGGAAGAGACGTGCTGCTGACAGAAGTTCTGCGAGACGGTTTCCATTCTCATTTCTTTCTCCTAATCCAGAATTTCCGATCCTGTATTCGCTTTCGTTGGTCTTTCCTATTCTGGCGTTGAAGTCTCCAACAACAAATTTATGTATGCTTTATCATTGCGGACAACTTCTTCCAACTGATATTAGAATGCATTTAATTCCTACTCATCAGCTGCGCCCGCCGGTGATTAGCAATTGATGATTGTGGTCTTCTTATGACGCGTCAGTAGACGTAGGACGGATATGCGAAGGCAAAGGATCTCGTATGAGTCGACGAGATGGACAAAGAACGGGTGGACGACAAAGCCTACGCCGTCCATATTTTGTGACGGGACCTTTTCTCCACGGATGACAAGGATCCCGTTGTTTAGTTGATTTATGTCGGTCTTATCGATTTTTGTTCCTTATAGTGCGATCACATCAAATTTGATGCGATCAGCGGCTACAAGAAAGGCTTGAAGATCGGCGTCCGTGGAGAGTGTTCTGGAATTAAATGTGCAGAGTAAGAAGCAATCTCCATGGCGTGTCGTGCGTGTGTTCGTTAGATCCGGTTCCAGTGACGTTCTGCGTAATCCGAGATTTTCTTGCCTCTCACCTGTCGTCTCACCGCCTGACGTCATAGACGGTAGCACCCAGTGTGCGTGGTACTGGGACTGGCCTATTGTTAGTCGTGCAACTTGGTCCTCCCTGGAGTCCTCACGTAACCAGGCAAGGGCGCATCCAAGTCTTCACCACGAAGTGGATCGGAGGGAGGTATGTTTTCGGCGACGAATCCTTCGCCCGTTCTTCCGACTAGTTGATTTGGAGACTATGTTAAAAAAGAGGTCAGAAACGAAAGTAGGAATGGAAAAAGTAACCGACCGCTCAAAGACGATGTAAGAGCGGAAGTAAAGCTCCTCACAGGAATTAATAGGAAAATGGCAGTGGCTTGAGATGTCCAGGAATATAAGCGTGGTCATTGGTTCGATTCCACTGCAGGCTAGCATGGGAGGATAGAAATACTTGTTTAATGCACACGCTGGCTCCCGCATGGTATTGTATAAGCCAAATATGCGTCCAATCAATTCTCTACGATGATACGAATGGAATCAAATGCATGACGCGTCCCTAAGCGCTTGACTAACACCGTGAGCTTTATTCTTCTTACAATTTGCAATAAAAAACAAAGCGCTGGAGCGAAAATGGTCCAGAGCGATAACGTTGTCAATTCTAACCCATTTCCAAGACCGACTTTCTGTTAACCTCGGCATTAATTGATAATTCAATGTTTTTCATCAATAAGCAGACACGAGGTTGTTAATATAGAATTTATTAGAACACAAAAAAAAGAGCAATTGTGTTCTAATAAATTCTACATTAACAACCTCGTGTCTGCTTATTGATGAAAAACATTGAATTATCTAACCCATTCGTTCCGTCACATTCGTAATTCCACGTCTCGTCGTCTGTCCACTTCTCACCGCGACGTCGGCAAGTACCGTACCAATCCCGACAATCGCAGTCAGCTATAATATGATGGAAAAGGTGCTATCATATGACATGAATCAACCATGAATGAATCATATGATACGTATTGACTCACTTGGAACGATCTCAACATTGCTATTTGAATCGGAGAAGTTAGTAATGACAGCCAGTAAAAGTGAAATACGTGACGACATCATCTGCATAGCATCGCATTCTTGCATATGCAGTGCGAAAAAAATGAAAAAATGAAAACCCGGATTTCACTTCAAAACGCTCGTGAAAATTTCAGTTCACAACAAATTTAAAGCCGGAAGTAAACATATATATGTATATGTATATGCATGCTTCCTAACGGTTTACCGCCTCGTCATGGCTACGAGGTATTCGGCCGCGATGCATAGCTGGGGAATTTATTCCCCAGCAGGGTTTCCCAAGCTGAGAAGGACTCCCGCTTTTCCATCAGAAATCCCAGCTAAGAGTAAACCAAAACCCTATCCACTACTGTATTGATATCAAACTGGTCGCATGGTGGCAAATCTCCCTCTGATTCACAAAGGCGGCGAATGCCTGTGGTGGTGACGACCTGGGGCATAGTTTGGCCATGTTGACCTCAGGACTTCAGGTAATCATAGTGGCTAAACCAACAAAACTTCGAAATGTGGGAATTAAGCCGGCGCCCGCACAACCAGGGAAGACGGACCATCCAAGTACTCAAGTATGTAAATGTACGTATGTAAGGCGATGCAAAAAAATTTACTTCATAAGATTGTGAAGTCCCAAACTTCTGTAGCATTCTATTGGCCAAGACATTCAGTTGTTGAAAAACCAGCCTCGAGCACCATTTATGTATATATATATATATATATATATATATATATATATATATA